GTTTTTGTCGATGTTCTTTCATGAAGCTTTAAATTGTACCCTATAAAGATATTGTGCATTCTTTGTTAAGTGAATTCCTGAATGTGGTATAGATTTATTACTATGGTGTTGTCTTTCATTGTATTTTCCAGTTTTTTACCACTGGTATAGAGAAATACTAAAACTTGAATTGTCTCTGCTGACATTACTGATGTCTTTCATCAGCTCTAACAGTTGGTGACTCTGTTTGTTATCAAGATTGTTATATCATCTTCCGTGGGTAGTTTGCACCAGGAGGGGAAGCTGAAGTCCAGTCACCATTTGCCTCCCAGTGAGTTTAAGCAGGAGAGGGGACCGTGCCTCACGACGGTGAGTACTTGGCGTTAGATGTTGTTCTCAGTCTCCCACATTTGCCGGCTCACCAGGCAACCCTGGCCTTCATATCAGTTTCCTGGGGTTGTCTTTACAAAATCCCACCAATTGAGTGGATTAAATAAAATAAATGTATTGCTCTGGAGGCTAGAAGTCCAATGTCAAGGGATCAGCATAGTTGATTTTCTCTGAGTCCTTTGAGGAAAATTTTCTTTTATGCCTCTCCCCTAGCTACTGGTGGTTGCTAGCAATCCTTGTCATTCTTGGCTTGTAGAAGCGTCACCCCAATCTCTGTCTTCATCATCACATGACATCCTCCCTCTGTGAGCCTGTGCCCTAGAAGGACACCGGCGATATTGGATTAGAGGCCACCTCTACTCCAGTATCCCTCGTTTTAACTAATTGCATCTGCAATAACCCTATTTCCAAGCGAGTTCACATTCTGATGTTCTGGAGGTCAGAACCCCAACATACAAATTTTGGATGACACACTTTAACCTATAAGAGCCTTCAAAAGACCTGCCTGAACCTCTGCAATCTAATCATTTCCTCCCCAATAATAGACGGAATAAAGAGGTTTGCTCTCACCTGGTATTTGCTTCCCATCCCAACTACATGTGAGCGTCATTTCTCACTGCTCTGTGGTCTCCAGCTACTGTTTTTCTGATTTGCATTGGCAGAAAACAAGGGAGAGAGCGACAAACACGAGAGAGCTTTGCTTTGCTTTTTTCTGCCAGCTTTGCTTTGGCAGAAAACAGGGAGAGAGCGACAAACACGAGAGAGCGCCCTCCATCTGCAGTGCCTACTCTCCTCACTCTGAGCCGCCATTTTTCCACTAGATCGTGGCCCAGCCATTGTTTTCTTTCTGGGAATGTATTATAGTTTTTATTCACATGCTCAGATCCACCCCCTTCTCTATTGCTTCCTCCATTTCAAAGGATGTTTCCCACGGAGGGAGACACAGTTCGGGTTCATTTGATAGCTAATCGGAATCATTTTTCGCCTGAAGTTGTTTGCTGGACATCTCAGTGTGCAGGCCAACCCGTAGTTCACCAGCTAATTCTGATTTAGGGAAGAAATAAAAGGAGCTTTCACAATTCTCACAATGGAGGTACATGGATAGATAATTAAAGCTAAAGGCAAAGTTTTAAAATATGTTTTTAAGTTAAAATTTTTTTGCTCAAGAAAGGCTAGGAAGCTATAGAAAAGTTAGGACATTGATAAATGATGGTTTTCCAGATGTGATTATTGCGAAAACAAAAAGATGCTTGTTAAAGGGCCATAGCTCTCCGTTCTTCCTTTCAGCATCGTTCAGTTGGCACTTTATTGTGGTTCTTCCACCTTCCTGCAGCACTCCAAACAGCTGCAAGTAATGTCGGGGACCCTGGGGTGGGAAGCAAGACGCTCAGGGGCTTACCCTCGTCACTGAGTCACCTTGAGCAGGAGGTCACTGAGCCTCATTTTTCCTCTCTGTCAAGCAAGAGGTCAGATCGTCCAAGTCCTAAGTCCCATATGAAACAGTATTTGCCTGTCATGGAGTAGAGATGAGTGTGTGTGTGTTGTATTTCTTGTTAGTTTCTCTGAGAACCTTAAGAAGCTAAATGTCCAAGAAATTTTGCTCTTACTTTCTCTCACATTTACTTACTTCACAGAGAGTTGAGATGACCTATTTGAAATGATATCGAATCAGGTTCATGTTATAGCTCTGATGGTAACATGAGATTTATAAATATACGGTTTAACCCAAATGTCAAAATTTCTATTTGGATAAAGAAGGAATACATTCCGAAAACATCTGAAAGAATGCAAGAAGAAGCAAGGGCTCTTTTGATTTAAGGAATTTACTTCAAAAAAAAAAATGAAGGTGTTATAAAAAGCCTTCAAAAACAAGTCTCTATGTACAGCCTGAAATCTCTGAGAACTACTCCTTAGTGGTCATGACCTTGAGAGTCTTGAGGAAGTCTGGTCCGATATACCCTAGAGAATGCCCCATAGTCTGGGTTTGCCTGATGTTTTTCTCATGATTATCCTGAGGTTATGGATGTTTTTCACACAAACATACAGATGTGAATTATCCGTCTTATGACATGGAATTAGAGGGTGCATGACATTTGCACGCATCCTATCGCATGACATGGCAATGGTAAATTTCATCACCTGGTTAGGGCTGTGTTTGCCAGGTTTCTCCACTATAAAGTTGCTATTTTTTTTTCCTTTCCTATGCTATTCTTTGGAAAGAGTCACTGAGTGTAGCCCACTCTCAATGGTGGGAGAGGGGGAAGGGATTGGGTGACAACTAAGCCCCAACTCTTGAAAAGCAGATGATCGACATAGATTATTTGAAATTCCCCTTTATTGCTTGCTCTTTTGATGTATGTGCTCCATTTTGTTTTGTTTTGTTTTGTTTTGTTTGTTTTAGCCATATGCCAGTGGTGTGGAACAGTTGGCTCATACCAGCTTGACAGAGCCTATTGTTAAATTTTTAGGAATTTCGCAAGCTGGTTGACATACGTTGGCAGCCTGCAGTCAACCATGGTGGGAGTATTTACACCACAGATATTGGCAAACACTACAAATCTGGGCTTCCATCCCCCACCCTGACCCCACTCCCAGAGAGCTGGCTGTTAAATAGTTATCAGCACACCCGTATATGGTACAGATGTTCCCCCCAAAACACAAAATGCCCAAAAAGGCAAAAAAAAAAAAAGACAGTGATTAGATATCACTGTCTTCTCTTTATTTCTGAGCTGATTGGAACAGAAAAAGGAGTCAGGATGTGTCCCCACTCTGCCACGTCACCCCTGCGACAGATGCACCATCACTGTGTACAAAGAGGCTCAGCTGTAAGTCTAGACAACCCATCTGCTATTTGCCCCATCAGTGAGTAAAATATAACACTCTTCAGACTCCCGGCTGATAAGCTTTTAATGTCAATATTTATTTATATTATCCTGCATGTGAACATGAGGTTTCTGGATCTCGACTACCATTATTACTTACTTAGGACAATCCCTGCATGCATTTCTCAGGCGCCCCTTGTTCCCCCTCCCAGTGATGGGATGAGAGCCACACCGGCAGGTATAGAAGGAGAGTTGCTCAAACCACATGGAGGAACCCTGAAAATGTGAAGCTAGGGCTTATATACATATTGCCCATCCATCCCCAGCAAGAGGAAGATAAACTTAATCTCCTAAGTGTATATGTATTCCTCTAGGGAAAAGTTCCTGGGTTTTTACCCTTTGGAATATAAATACATATCTCCAGGAAGTAGATACGACAAACTAGAGTTTGTAACCAAGGTTTTTTCTCTCTTTTGAGATGTAAACACGCAGAGAGATCATCTCTCCATCCTTTCTGAGGTCTCTGGCTGTTCATTCACGTTGTAACTTCCCAGGCTGGTTCTTCAGTCCACGTCCCAGATTGCTTTGCTCAGGAAGCCCGAACCGAGCAGAAACATCGAAATGTTTTCTCTACTGTCTTCGCCATCTTCTGGTCAGAGACAGGAACAGTACAGTTTCTGAAATTTTATTTAACAAGAACCAAAAGGAGATCAAAGCTCCTCGGCTGTTCCCGTCTCTGGGGTCTCACATTTTCTTTCTTTATAATCCAAAACACTCATATTATGGTTTTCTCGAAAGAGAGGAGACGGCCTCAATTTCTAGGAACCTAAAACTGAGCGCATGAAGTTTTTGAGGATGCTGTTTGGTGTCGTGAAGAGACATAAGTAACAAATCCTGCTTCTCCGGGAGAATAATAAGCAAACTCACCAGGCAGAGTTGGTGACATGTCTTCTGTGGACTAGGAGCCCTCAAAGGGCAGTGACCTCAAACCCAGCCTGTGGCCCACCCTATCTCCATACCAGCGACCACTGCCGACCTCCTGAATCAAAATCTCTGAGATTCTGGTGCCCAGGAATCCATATTTTTATGAACTCACAGGTAACCCTAAGAAGCAAACAGATTTTCTTTTTATCTTTGATGTGGACATTGATTTTTATCTTTTTATTTAAAAAAGTTATCGAACAAGTAATATATTGTCATGATGCAAAATTTAAAAGGTTGAAAAGGGTAAACCAGAAAACAGATTTGACATCAACTGCTCTGTTTGCTCCCACCACAAAATGATATGGTTTGGGGAAAGGTGTACAGCTCCACCTACAGGTGACATCCGGTTTTGCAGCAACTCACTCCTGTGTACCAGTTACCAGAAGTATCCTTTCAGTGGGAGGTAACCATGGAAACCCAAAACATCTACTTCTCTACACGCACTGCCGTCCGTTATACTTTTTAGAATGTCCTTTGAAATGTTTTAGGGGAATCTTGGGCAGGTTCTCTAACTTTCTAAACATATTTAGTTACTAAAAGTCCAGACTAGTTTAAAAGTTCAGACTTAAACGCTATTTAAATCTCGTCTCCCCTTGACACCCTCCTCACCACCGCGCAACTCAGACTGAATTGTTAGCATAAGGGATTAGGATAGCAGTTTGGGGTATGATCTTCTATTTTCTCAGACTCTTGAAAGTGGGGGGGAGAAAATTGTTCAGCCCTGCAGCATAAAGGCCCGTTCCCTTTCTCTTTTTGGCCCCGCCCTCCTGAGGCTGCCTTGCTGGAGGGCGTGGTGTGTGGGCGAGGCCCCGCCCCCTGCTGAGGGCAGTGTCTTCTTCCTGGTCACCCGCGGAGTCTCTCTGTTCCTGTCGTTTCCTCTAACTTCCCTTTCCCTGACGTGACACTTCGAGGGTTATTGGTTCCTCTCCCACGTCCTCAGGGTCACCCTCTGAGGAAGCTGGGGTAGGTGTTCCTTTCATGCTTTTCTCCCCAGGTCCTCGTCCTTCGGGAGTGTAGAAACAACAAGCAGTTAATCGGATCTTTGATTGTGTGTGTCTCCAGGGAACATGTCATGCTCTCCCGAGAACTCACCACTCCGACGGGAGCGCCGAGGGTTTGCAGGCTCTGCAAGCTGCTGGTAAGGCAGAAAGAAGGCAGCCAGTCCTTTGTGCAGACACCTCTGATCCCTACTCGTGGCTTTCCTGGAGCACCACCTCGTTGGGCTTAAGCAGGAAGGAAGTATCCGTCTCCTCCCTAACAAGGCCAACAGCTCTAGACTTGAGTGAAGAGGCGAGGCCTGGAGCATAGTGGTATGAGGTAAGGGCCAGTTTTGTCTACTTCTATGCATTTCCTGGCAGGAGCCAAAAGTCCCCAACCAATGGTTAGTGGCAATCTTTGGAACGGGGCATACTCTGTACTTCTTTGTCTTCATCCATGGGTCCTAGTTACCGACAACAGAGGTCAAGGAAAAACCCTAATTAGTACTCTATTGCACAGTTGCACCCCCAAAGAGGCTGACTATGAGAAAGCCATTGAACCCCAACCAGTCGTTTTATTTCCCCTATCCAACGAGGTGCCTGTGACATAGTAGGCACTCAATAACGAATGAATGAATGAATGAACGAACTGGTTATATATTGAGAACCAAATCAGAGAATAGATTCTGTACTTACAGATTTTGTTGCAAGGCAGTAACTAAAACTGTTAATAATAATAGCAAATGGGCACCCAGTCAAATGCTGTGTAGGCATTATGGTTTTAAATTCTTCAACGCCACTGAAGTATTATTATCTCCATCTTACAGACGAGGAAACTGAGGCCTAGATAATTTAGTAAAATGCCCACGTACTCTCAGGATATGCCGTAATTTTTCTGAAAGCTTCTTTGCTTGACAAGAACCTGCAAGTTTTCGTTTCCGACTCTGTAGAGTAGGGATGGCAAGTAAGCGTCATTTCCGCGACAACGTTGAACAGTAGTGGTCGCCTGGAGTCCTGTGTTGATGACAATGTGGAGATCCCAGCCCTATTGATTAATTACGCCTGCGTTGTGTATGCAACCCCTTGTGAGAGCGTGACACATGTGCCATCCCTGATCCAGACATCTGTCGATACCTTGTCTAGCCAAAGTAAGAAGCTGGCAAAGTCTGTCTTTGGGACCTCCAGCACTCCCTCCCTCTGCCACATCATTTCCCTCCTCTTTCTTAGACTCAGTGTCCAGTCTTTTCTCGACTTCCATTCTGAAATGGATCCCTTCCACTCCAATTTACACGAGTCTGCACTGTCTCCCCACGTGGGCATTTGCATTTAAAGCTTTAAACTCATTGGCTGTTCTATTAGAGTAGAATTGCCCTAGACCTGAGTTTCAATCCTACCTCAGTGCTTATTCACCTGTGTGATCCTGTAAAATGTTTTTAGTTTTACTTAGATCATAACTCCTGTCAAACCTATTCCCAAGGTTGCTTTGAGAATTAAATAAAACTATGAAATTAAGAGGCAACATAAATCCTATCATTGGGCCATGACAGCATCTGTCTGCTGTTGAAGGAGGTTTAGGACCTGCTGAAAAGTTGGAGAAATTATTCTCCATGAGAGGTACAGCTTCTCAGAACCCTTGGCACTGACCCATGTGGGCGGCATTGAGATGAGTGGCCAAGATATTGGGTGGGAGAGTCGGCTTCACCACACACTAGCAGTCTGACTCTAAGCGGTCTGTCTCTTTTTCTCTAAGAAATGGAATAATGACAGTTTCTGCCTCCTAGGATTGTTACGAGCATTAAATGAGACAAAATGTAAAGCTCACAACAGTGCCTGATGGTAAATGCCCAATAACTGTTAGCTATTTTTCTACCTAAGCTTCCCCGTCTGCTTAGTTCTGACAACCTTCGTCTTGGCTTGGAAAGCCAATTATTGACCAGGGAGAACTCAGGAGGAGTAGGCATCTTGGAGAGGTGAGCACGCCTGTCTCGCTTTTCGCATCTAAACCTGTTAGTTCCTCCACCTACTCTTGTGGCCCCTTCCTGGAGAAGCCCATAACTGCGACTTGGTGGCTCCAGCAGGGATGGCTGTTACGGCTCGTTTTGTCTATCAGTTTCCCCATGAGGCACTACCATGGGCTGCTGGGAGGGATTGACTAGGGTGAGTGATTTAGTGAACGCATGCACTTTGTAAGTAAGTGTGAATTCGAATGGCTGTGTGACATAGCACAAGTTACGTAACCTCTCTGGAAGGCCCTGGCACACACTCTTGTTTAGCCAGTCTAGTACTTAGTTTCATCTCCTGTCTCCTTTTTCATTTTCTTGGCAGTGGTTGGAAGGCTAAGGGCTCACTTTCCTAACCTCTCTTGCAGCTCGAGGCACTGCGTGACGATGTTCTGGCATGTAATTAGAAGTCTTCTGAGGTTGGAGGAGGCTTCTGGGAA